GAATACAACATGCATGCCTCAATAAAACTCCTTACTATCTCACCAATTAGCACCTAAAAATGTGTCAATTTTTTATTTCAGTTTTTAGAAATTACATTGGCTCATATGCCTTTAAAGCACATGTGTGTCAAAGTCTTCTATATATGAACACTCCTCAGTATGAACACTTTTTATCAACCCACTAGTGTTCATGTTACTCAGGTTTTACTGTATAAAGTTTGAGTGCAAGACGAGTAAGGACAATACCAATATTGGAATGATGTACATGTAGGACTTTTACATTACAAATGACTTCTATTGTTATGGACACATCATTGTGTCTCTGTAAAGAATTATCTCAAATTTATGATCTCACTAAAGCGTTTAGGGGTTATTCCTTTATGTATCATAAGAGATCACAGATATATCAGTCCGTTTTAGTAATTGCAAATCAGATATGGTATGAATATCAATTGTATCTATAGTATCTAGTATATACAACTGTATCTAGAATCTTTTTGTGTCTGATACCTTAACTATTTTCTTAGCAGCAACTTTATTTCATTATGTAAGACTTACTAGAATAGGGAAGAAGGATTTTTTGATTTTTCTGAGTTTTTCTCTCCCGTGAAAGTCCATGGTAATTACTTTTGTAGTTAGGCTTAGTTCAAGACCCTGGACCCCCCCCCCCCCCTATCTATGTTAAAGTAGATAAGGGGAGAGTCCAAGGTTATTAAGAACAGCATCAAAACATTCAAATCACCTATTGTAGTCAGAGGGCTGTTAGTACTTCCATCCTCTTGGTACAGGGTAAGTTGTAAATGGATTAAGTTCTAGTAAATAGAAGACTCAATTCTGAAGCACTACTACTGTTAGCAGGCTATCTGACATTGGACTTACGATCAATATACACCACGGAGAATATGCAGTAATCATACCCCATGTATATATGTAGCCATGAATCAATACCAATTATTTCATCAAAATCATGTTGCCGATATCTACTAAAGATCAAAGTTACATGATTTCGCTTAATTTAGGAGATTATTGTGATTATACTGATTGATAGAAATTGTTATTATTAAGAATTATATAAATTATTACTTCTTCAAATGGTATTTTGATACATAAAGTTGGTGACATTTTCCTTACAGTTCTTTAAAATACAGGGCTTAAACGCTCCATTTCTCAATAAAATTTGAAAATAAACTCTATTTTCTTGCATTTCCATACAATTTAGAGTGTTGACTTTAAGCCTGTTTAATTTATTCCTTGCTGATTTCATTCTTTTCTACTCTATTTTGCATTTAAAAACACGACCAACTAGATCTTTCCACAAGAGACAAGGATCAACTATATCATATAATCAGCCATGCGAAAAATGTCATTTGGCTATGTTTGTTCCGCTATATTCACTAAAATTGCAATCAGAAAATATGAGATGGAGAAAGAAAAAGAAATCTAAGAAAAACAAAACTGACCAATAAAAATCAATATCAAAAACAGTACTACGATATTTAGTAGTATGTATATTTCTTAATGATGAAAAGATCATGCTGCAATTTATAACATATTTCGAAGGAACATATTGCTAGAAAAATTATATTTTGTGGGGAATATACATACTGAACTCAACTACATGTAATATCGTGAATTTATAACAATAACATTGCGATTGTCCTGAATGTATATTTGTCCTTAAATGTGCAAGATATGCTTGCTTTACAAATGTTTAATTTCCCTATCTCTCCTTTTATTGAATAAATGTAGCTATCGTATGTTCTGACATTTTTTATGTAATTGTTGGCTGCTTATTCCCTCTTATTGTTTTACATCTTTCTTACTTAACAAAACATATTCACTGTTGCCATGACACATTCCACTGTTGCCATGACACATTCTACTGTTGCCATGACATATTCAACTCTTTTTATTATATTTTTCTCATAGGTGTTAATTTATCAATTAGATATTTAATAGATGTCTTGTTGCTATTTACAAAATACTCAGACATGCAAATACATAAATACAAAAGCCTTATTTGTGAGATGTCTGGGGGTCAACGGGTTCCCCTTGTTTAAGATTTAACTTTTGCCTTTCTAAAAGAAAACATCATTTGTCCAACATTTATTTCAATTGACTGGAGGTGCCATTGAACTAACGAGGGGCGGGAAATGAAACTATAAAATTAAAATCTTAAAAGTCAGCCAAAAAAATTTAAAAAAAATGTTTATAGGTTATTGTTATTTATTTCCATATTATTCAACATGATTATGTACATAGATTGTGTGGAGCCGAGGCTATATGGCATTATTGGCCCCTCTCTAAATTCCTATCCTCTATCTTTAGCAAAACAGCCAGATTGATAACACTATAGAAACAAGATATTTGTCATCTAATAACGACAATACATTGAAGATTTAGCATGAAAGCAGAATATAAATGGGGAGTAGACTAAGACTATTGCAGACATTGCCTGAGTATATTTTAGTAGAACTTACCCTGGGTGCAGAATTTAGATGTGAAGTTAATTGACCTCTGAATAGGTTAGACAAATTCACCATTTAGCATGCAGCCTCACCCCCACTGCCAGTGACTATCATATCCTTGGTTATAAATTAATTCACACCCACCGCGCTCGCACTGACATTTTATCAATGGAACGGCCAGTAGAAAGAAACAGAAAAGACAATAACGTGCAAAATGTCACCACCTGCCATTTCTTACAGACATTGAAAACCAACTGACAAACACAAACCATCAAACACCAACCATCGAACACCATCCACAAAAAAGACCATATCAATATGTTACCACGTGTGGTGGTTACATGAAAACACCTCGTCAAAACATTTCATAGCTTCAAAATCATTTTCTCAATCTTTGATTCAATATAAATTTTGAATAAAACAGTCATTGCATCGCCTGAGTATTAACAATGGAAGTCTTCATTTTAAGTATGTCAAACTAGACCATTTTCCCTGTAATTATATGCAGGCCCGTAGCCAGGGGGGTTCGATAGGTTTTAGCGAACCCCCCCCCCCTTGCCAAAAAATCTTTCAAAATCATGCAGTTTTTCACCATTCTGAACAGTTTTTAAGTGATTTTGGCCATTTTTGGACACAAGTGAACCTCCCTGGAATTTTTCAAAAAGTGAACCCCCCTTGGCAAATCCTGGCTACGGGCCTGACATTTCTTGTTATCTAAATGCATACAAAGCTGTCTAAGATTGATGGTCAGTGCCACTGAAACAGACAATGATGCAGAAAGCAATAAGGGTTAGCAGGCTGATCTGTATAAAACTATAAATCAATGCTCAGTCTGAATGTAGGAGAATCACCCCGGAATAGCCTGACTACGGTAAAGTCAGATACCGTTGTCACAAATGGTGGACACAAACGTCGCTTCAATTAGATTTTCATGAACTGTATGTTTAATAGAGCACCTAGACTAAATTCCTTTGGAACAACAATCAACCAAAGTGTCTTAATACTCATTATACAGTTAATAATGTTCTACCATCAAAACAAAGTCTTTAATTTAACCTATCAAAATGAGATACGGGACAACGGACACTGTAATTACCATATGTCGTTGTCTTTCTAAATTACTCAAAATCAGATTCCATTGTCATTGACAATATAGAAGACGCTATATTGTGGCGATTCACGACCCAATTTGATCGAAAATGGGATTTCATATGATACATTATCACAAGAGCTTAATGCATGCACAGAATTAGCGACGATAAAATCCCATGAAATGAGGACTAAGTGATCAAACAGTTGAAGCGACGGTTATGTCCGCCATTTGTGACAACGGTATCTGACTTTACCGTAGTCAGGCTATTCCGGTGTGAGAATGATGATTACACTAAAACCTATTTAATTCATACAGGACAGGGTCGGCCATGGTGTTCAGATAAGCATGTGTTCATATTTCAAGGTTTTCTTAATATGTGAGTCAACAAATAACAAATTTTGGACCACAATATGTGAGTCAAGACTCAAGAGATAACAAATTTGGGACCAAGAAAAGTTATGTACATTGAGAAGTGTTTGGATTAGAGAGGTGAACAGGTATACAGGTTTCACTGTATTTATATCTCAATTGATAGTGCATTATGAATTTGAAAAAAGTCATTTAGAGGGTCATTTAGGATCTGAATTACAAACAACACCCTTTTAAAGGGACCAGGTCATTATTCAGATGTCCCAAAAATATATTTGAATGCTCTTTATATTGATATTATAAAACTAAAAGCCCCTTGAATTAAAAAATTGATAGAGGCTGGAATGAAGAAAGGAAAATTTGGAAAGGTATTCCCATTTCAATTTGGCCCTCTGTCAGTTGATCAGTATTTAACAGATAATACTTTCATCAATTTCTTACAGCATCATAAGGCACAATAGTCCAAGCTTTATTATGTGGTAATGACTCAAAAAGATTTTTATTAATTTTGAGATTGGAAAGATCCCCTGATTCAATAAACAAATAGTTTGATAAAGAATCAATTGGGAATCAATATGTAAATGCAATGAAGTTAAAGATGGGCTAGATGGATGCAAGAGCGAAATTAAGACTACAGATCAGTAGAGTGAGAAACAAAATCTGTCAATGCTGCCAATTTAAATTATATGAAAAAATGAAATCTTTACCTTAAAATCAGACTATGTTATCAATGGAAAGAGACATCAAACCAATAACCCAAAAATATGTGTAGCACCCTATTCAGTTAACAATACATATATATGCATATAGCATATCACGACGTCATAGCCATTATACAAATCTGAGGGAAAAATATTCTGACAAATATATCTATGTATGTATCCTACTTAGTGCAGCTTCACACCTTTTTCTTTGCATCATATGTCACCTAAAGTAAACCCAGTCGATAAATCATAGGGACTAATAGTCTCAAGATCTGACAAATTATACATTGCAACAACCAGACAGTGTAGTGCAGATCTAATCAGTGTTTTGATAACCCTTATAGTTTTCTGGAAACTGAATCTTACCTTCTCAAAAAACTGGTCCATAAATCCTCCGCCCATATTAACGGCGGTGTCTTCTGGTCCTTCATCATCATCGCTCTGAGCCTGAAATAATTAAAATAAAAAATACTCAGAACTTTTGAATTGAATGTGACTTTGATACTATAGACACACTTATAGGCTATGAGATACAGAATCAAAATGATAAGTGTCAGAAAAGTCGCCCAATAATTCTTCGACTTTCAGAACAGTTCAGAGAAAATATTTTTCAGAAAATTACTTACTGCTCTAAGAGCGGCCAAACGGTCCTTAGTCATTCTTCACCGACTCCCTTTAATGGGTATATCCTTAGTGCGTTTATAACACCTATTTTTACTTAATTTCAGGTCATATATATCTAGATTTTTGGTAAAAACTAAGAAAATCAATAATATTTTAATATTTTCCCAAGCCAAAAAGAGAACACCCCATTGCGCATGTGCGGTATCAAGCACTTCCTACTTCCGGTCTTTCAGAACACGGTACTTTTTGTCTTGAATTATTTTTAAACTATATTTTCTCTTTTAAAAACGTATTACTTGTATTCCATCTTTGTAGGAAATTGATAAATTATAATTTTTTGACATTTTCCTTATTTACGACATCTTTGAAATTTGGCGCCAAATCTGGTTCAAACTGGATTGTGGGAGCTGACCTTTTCTTTAATGCGCCATTTTACAGGGAATCATTCGTAAGTATTTCCTTACAATCGGTTTAAAATCTCTATCATCACATGCATTTGGCTCTAAAAATGTACGTTATTTAATAAAGGAGTATGTGATGTGTAATTGAGATCATTCTGGGACGTTGGCATTCGTGATTTCTCATTATACGATGATTTTCTTTCTATTGAGAATTCTGACATTCTTTGTTTTTTCAAAAATTCGCCGGTCTTTTATTTAGATTATCTTTTTTTATGTACAGACACAGTGTTAAAGGCTTATATTTTTGTTAGATTTATACAATTAATTCTTCTGACAATCTATGAAATATCATAAAACTACAGAACAACATAAAAAGGGAAAGTTGTATCACACCACAAAAACTGGTCATTGAAGGCATTGAAAGTGAAACCTGAAGATATTTCATAAATTCATTCATTCAGTTCCATGATTCATCACTTCCTAAGTTACTGTACGCCCGGTATTATTCGCGAGCTTTAATTTCGCGAAAACACGGTTTCGCGGCTATTAAATTTCGCGAATACTGTATTTTATCGTATTCGGGGATTCCCCAGTATATGATGTCCAATCAAATTGCAGGCTACGATCACGTGAACAATCGTGCGCACGTGCGCTTTCATTGCCGTGCATGCGCATAGTAAAGTCATGGAGTTGCACAGTACTATTGAAGTACTATAACTCGATCCAAACTAGTAGATAAAACGAAATGCATCAGAGCCCCGGGTAAAAACAAATTCCCGGGGATTTAATTTGCAATTTCGCGACGATAATTTTTCGCGATTTTAACACCCTCGCGAAAAGCGCAAAAGTTAATCGCACGCGAATAATACCGGGCGTACAGTATGTCACAGGAGGCGGGTTACTCACCCTTCAAAAAAAAGAATAAAGTGACATTCATTCCCCTTCCCTCTGCGTTACTTTGAGTTTTTTTTTATTATTTTTGACATTTTTTCTCAAAATAGCCGCGTTATCGGAGTGAAAATAAGAATTGTTTAATATTTCGATCAACGTATAAACCTTTGTACAGGCCTATATAATATTGTTCTGTTTGCATTATAGGTAAGAAAACAAGTAACTAAACATGGCACAACAAGAACCTGTTGCGATCTTCAAGGTAAGTGAAAATATTCAAAGAATTATTTTAGGTTCAGCTGGAAAGTAACATTTTGGCAAAAAATGCTATACCTGCACATGTTATTTTCTGGTACAAAATTAAATATGAAGGCATGTATATATTTTCTTGCTTTTTTCAGGAAAGTATCATTACATTGTCAGTGTTTTCAGTAGGTTTGTCCAAGATTGTGTGTGTCCCTGGGAAGTAACGATTTTCAAAAAATGTTCCCGGGAATTCAAAGTCACGCTTTTTTGCTATTTATCGGTCTAAATCAGTGTTCTGGCGATTCTAAAGATAAAATACTTATTCTAGTGAGAAGTTCATATGGTTAAAATAACGAAATATTGAAATGTTACCATGTATCTACTTAGCAGTTTGTTCTATGTCATCCCTCCTCCCAGGTTACATTGTGGAACTCAGCCAAACACGACAGTGAAGGCAACAACATATCGATCTTGATCTTAGCAGAACTTTTGGAAATTTAGGTCGTCCATTTTGCAAGCTCACGTGACTGATCATGTAACACGTGTCTGATCACGTGACATGTGTCTGATCACGTGATTAGTTACTGTATCGATCATGTAACTAAATGAGGTGTCACCCAACCATGTCTTCAAGGAAAACTGTAGTAAATATTTTGGAAAATGTTTTGCGAGCATTTGCTACTGATTATAGAAGGCACAATTAGGCAACGAACGGAACTGATAAATTGTATTTCGTGCCTAACAGGTCCAGTACGCAACGAAAGAAACTGCTAAATTGTATTTTTAGTCTGCTTATTGATCTATTGATTCATAAAGACCTAAAATGATGCATTCATATAAGACCGCCTCCTATATGAAAATACAACACATAAAGTGGTGATAAACAACGAACTAAAGTTGAAAGATTGCAACGTTCGCTACTTTGTTCAATTCCTGAAATCTCCAAGGGGCTGCAAATGGGAAATTCTTTAGACTTAGATTTTATAACGTTTTGCATTAGCGAATACAAGCTTACTTACCTTCTGGAGGCTTCTTGTTTTTTTATTGATGATAAAAATCAGTGTTTTATTGCCATGTGTAAGATATATTTTATATTTTTTTAGATGGTCTTGGTTGGTGATGGCGGTGTTGGAAAAACAACCTTTGTAAAACGTCATTTGACTGGGGAATTTGAAAAGAAATATGTGGGTATGTACATTTTTTTATTTTATTTGATTTTATATCTACATTTTCCAGCATGGTTTTGTCAGTACCATTTGACCTTAAGTTGAACATTATTTTGAGGTACCAAAAGTCCTCCACTTACCATACAGGGGTCTATTGCTCCAAACTCCGTAAAGTTATGGATTCATTAATTAATTGTTCGTCCTCACACTTGCGTAATTGTGCATTTCTCGAAAAATATCATAGATTTACAGGATTTTATGGGATTTCCGTAAGTTAACGATATTCATGACGTCATAGCCTTCTTTTCCTGTAACTTTATGGCCACATCAGACCCCGTCTTTTACTATTTACTGAAGAATTACGATAGGGAGATACAATTTGAAACTCCAGAAATATTTCTAGTTACTTTTTCAATGCTACGGAAATCGTAACTTTACGGGTCCGTAACTTTACAGAGTTTGAGAAATAGACCCCTGTGTCTATTGGTTATGTCTTGGAGGAGGGTCTCTTACCTAGTACTGAACACAGAAAACATAAGAATATTCAATGCATACTCTTTCAGCCACACTTGGAGTGGAGGTACATCCATTGACGTTCCACACAACGCGTGGGCCAATCAGATTCAACGTCTGGGATACTGCTGGTCAAGAGAAATTCGGAGGACTCAGGGATGGCTACTATATTCAAGGTAGGTTCCCTTGCTTAAATTTAGAACTAGGGGTATGTATCAGGTAGCAAAATTACATGTGAGTTACAACTTTCCAATCAACCAGATGAAATATTTGAAAATGATTTTTGATAAGTATAATGTTTTTAGGTCATTTTTAAATTTAAAAAGCAGATATCTGTGAATACTTAAAGGCTGCAATTGGACACTGATGACATGCTAAAACCTATCCCAGTCTAGCTTATAGAGTTTGGTCAAATGTCCTATAATATTCTCGATCAGTTACAATTTTTGGACAGCAGCCGAAGATGGGGAAGATCTAACCCTAAATCTTCAAAGAATTTGATTGGTTCATTGAAGCATTTTTGGCCATCTTTGTGTTATAAACATCTTCTGTTGTGCTGCATCAATGCTCTCTCATTCATGATCTAACTTTTAATCTTGTGCATATTTCAGGCCAATGTGCGATTATTATGTTTGATGTAACAGCCCGTGTGACTTACAAAAATGTCCCCAACTGGCACAGAGATCTTGTACGTGTGTGTGAAGGTATACCCATAGTCCTCTGTGGAAACAAAGTAGACATTAAGGACAGAAAAGTTAAAGCAAAGGCCATCACTTTCCATAGGAAGAAAAATTTACAGGTAAGGAGTTGATGAACCCTCGTAGTGTTCTCCCCAGGATTTTTCTCAAGTTTTTTTTAAAATTTTGTCCAAGTCTGGTCAAAATATTTTTCCTGATTTTTTCAATTTCAAGTGGGTGGAAATGTATTCTCAGGTGGGTGTAACCCTACTCTCAAAATCTCAAAATTCATCAATGGTATACTTTTTCATGGCACAGTCCAGCTCCAAAGTGAACATTGTGATTGTTATTTTGGCGTTTATACTGTGTAAATCAATTGTTGCACACGCTATATCACCTCTTCTGACTATGTGAAGTTGTGACACGAAGTTTCAACAACAAATTATGAACTTGGCTTTTTAAAGAGAGAAACATATCTAGTGAGCAAACTAAACAAAAAATTGCCTCAATTTTAAGATATTTTTGGCTCATATTATTGAATCATTTATTTCCTAGAAATTCCCTAGATGGATACTTTACTTTAGGAATACTAGACTTTTACAATAATGTACAAAGTTTCAATGACAAAATAATTCTTGGGCTAGTTTACCATGTAAGTGAAGCCTATTTTACACTTAAAGAATATTGACTCGATATAACTATAGAATGACTAAGTAGTTACTAAATATTCAATATTTACACATGTACTAAATGCATCTATGTGTTTGACACTCTGTATAATATTATATATAATTAAATATATTATTTTTCCTTTTGTATTTCAGTACTATGACATCAGTGCAAAGAGTAACTACAATTTCGAGAAGCCATTCTTATGGCTGGCTAGGAAAAATATTGGTGATCAGAATTTAGAATTTGCAGAAATGCCTGCTCTACAACCCCCAGAGGTCGTTATGAACAAAGACCAAATTGACAAATGTGAACGAGAACTAGAGGTATGTCTGATAGTAAGGCCCAGTCCAAAAATTGCAGGAAGTGGCCCAAGTATATCAATGGGGAAATGGCTCCTTTTGAGTAACTTTCTGGGGCTTTACATTAGACTGCATAGTACATAGCCTGTGATGGATGTCATTTTTATGCCGCCACTCAGATGTGTAGTAGTCAATGTTTTTTGTTGCACTTAAAGAAAATGTTATATGGCACCTTATGCTGTTGAGGGGGTGAGATCACATAAATCTTGTCATCAAAATCATAGGAAAAACCTACATTAAATTTGAAAGTCAGAACAAACTATCAAGATCTGATTTTGGCACGCTGTGTAAAGTGATCGCCATAAATAAAAAAAATGACACCTGGATTTTCTATCACCATTTCCAGTAAGGGTCTAACGGTGCACCGAAACCGCGGTGCTCCGCGGTTCTTGGGCCTCGGTCGGTACGTTCGGTTCGAAAACTCCGATGTTCGGTTTTTTAACAGTTCGTTAATTCAGAAAAAAGTGCCGTTCGCTAAAGTAGAGGAAGATGAAACGAGAGGTGAAGATTTCGGCATTCTAAACGCTCCAAAGTCGTACAAGGCCCACTGTTGGGGTTATTTTGGATTTCCAACGAGAGATGGTGTTCCTCTCCCAGAAAGAACGATATAGTCTAATATGCCGGCTTTGCAAAATCGTTATGGTATATGAGAAAGGTACGTGTGAAAAAATGTGAAAATATTTGCTGTCTGCAGAAATAGAATAGATCAGAGTTATACATGCTCCCGGGCCGCATATTTTTTATGAAATTGCGCCATCTATTTATCATCGCATAAATAAAATACAATACAAAGTTAATGATTAATTTGTAAATAAAACTGACTTATATCAGAGGTGAACATGCTCCCAGGCTGCTCATATAAATAATGAAATCGCGCCATCTTTTTGAGTTATTTGATTTTTTACATTAAAGTGCGATAAGAACCGAACACCGAAACCGAGGAAATAAAAACCGTGAACCGAACCGAGGAATTATGAAACCGTGAGAGCCCTAATTTCCAGACCATGGTGATTTGAGACTTCATACTTTCCAATAATGTCTAGATACACATCCCTTAAGTTTTGTATACTCTCATCCACTGATGTATAGCCTCTTGAAAATTCTCATCTTTTTAACATGGGAAATCCTCACTTCAGCAAATCCAGGTGTCATTTATTTATTTATGGTGAGCACTGTAAATTACTAATTACCATTTTGATTATTTCAATAAAAAAGTGTGATATTTATCACTCTGTGTCTTGTTTGTGAATAGTTTTTGGCATTCAGCATTCACAACAAATTTGAACACTTTTTGTGATTGCAACAGGGATAATTTTGTCAAGTTAAATCTTAGTATAAATATTCACCCTGTTCTTTGCCTTGTATAATCAAACAGCTCTTGTTTTGACTTAAAGGCACAGTCCAGCTCCAAAGTGAACATTGTGATTGTTACTTTGGCGTTTATACTGTGTAGATCAATTGTTGTACACGCTATATCACCTCTTCTGACTATGTGAAGTTGTGACACGAAGTTTCAACAACAAATTATTAACTTTGCTAAATGTCAACTCAAATAAATGTGTATTAGCTGTCTTTGCCTTTGGTAGTAGACCTAACGATGCTTGGTTTTCAATTGATCCATGCACATGTGTTTGATTTATACAATCATTTGAAGAACTTGCACAGAATTGGGATCAATTTTAATGTGAAATATAATTGTTGACTCTTTATTATGCTTTCAGGAAGCCCAAAATGTTGCACTTCCAGATGATGACGATAATGATTTATAGACAGTTGAAAAGCCGGACTATTTATTGTAAAGGAGCATCTACTGTACAGAACACCCAAGCTCGTGGTTTAAAAAACTCTATTCATGTTACATGGCGTACACCAGAGCACCCTTACTCATGGTACGTGGCGTACACCAAATAGCAACCTCATCATAGTACGTGGTGTACACCATAGCACCCTCACTCATGGTAAATGGCGTACTCCAAAGACCTACAGTCCTACACATATTATTCTACCATTGTATGTCAGTATGTGTGAAACTTTATCAGGCTTTGTAAAATCATCACCTCTCAGTTCATAGACATTCTATTGGAACATCACTCTAAGGATTTGAATGGATACATCAGTACATCTAAACAACAACCTCACTGTGGCAAACATTGAAGGATTAAAGCGCTTGTGATGTGAGGAATTTAACTGAACTGAGTTTGTGTATGTGTTTCTCATTTATTCATGTATGCTGCCAATATGATATGAACCATGTCATTAAAACTGGATCATTTTGGATTACACCTGAACTACACAAACAATGCATTGAATAATGCCCATATAAGGCCATATTACGATTGAAAGATCTCACTGGATAACAGCGTTTTGGGATATCATGTATTAATGTGAGATAGCGATATGATGATTGTTTGCTGCAGTATGTGACATCAAGTCTTGATAATTGACATCTAAATTGAGAAATGACATCTAAATTTGTTCTTCTGCTTTACAGTATAACATTGATATATGCCATTCGTGTAGAGTTTCAACAAAATGTACAATGTTGATCATTGATCTCAGTAAATTCAATCTAATTGTATTGAGTCTCATTATTTGCGTCTGGCAGAGTCTCAGTTTTGAGTAATTTGATTGGGTCATTTAACCTCTGGATATATTATTGCATTGTTCTAATCCTATGTGATTTAAAAATTAAAGTGTAATGTGCTGGTAATTTCAAAGCTTAATACATGTAAATAATGAAATGGTATGTTGTGTTTAAGAATGTCACATTTGATTCAACCTTTCAAAGCTTGTTTTTATGTCACAAATAAAGTTATTTACTTATGATCTGTATATGGATGACAAACAATTCAGTGGAATTTTCTTGTTTTTCACTTTTTAAATGGAAGGTTGAATATGATGTTAGAATGGTAGCTTTATTTTTGTACTTTGCTAGTGGTATACTGATATACTGTACTATCATTGCCTATTGAAGCCATATAAATGTTTGTCATTCTCTATGAAAATAAAAAAATTAAAAAACTTCAATGTTTAGTATGTATTATGGTGGTTATGTGTACTCTTAAAGAATTAGAAATTGGAAGGGTGTCCAACCAGACCCCAACCTGTCAAGCAAAAGTTCTTAATTCCATCAGACCAACTGTCTACACTAGGAATTTTGATAACCTGTCAAAAATATTGAGGTGATTTTCAAAGCTTCGCCCATCTAAAATTCCTTCACATACCTGCTATTAATTTATCTTGCTGAAATAAATGATTGGCCACAAAACAAATTGTAACCAATAAGAGCCAGGGTTACTTGGAGCCTTGTTGCACTTTGCGCACTTGGGAAATAATAAACTGATAAAGAAGGTGTGATATTTGGCAAATACCCCAATGGTCAAATGAATCAATCGGCATATCTCAATGGATATCACAAAATATCAAAAATACACTGACCTGAATCAATTGCAAACTTAATAATTTCACAATATGACATCAGATGTGTAAATATGAAGTATGCAATTGATTCAAGTCATACTTTTAAAGTAAAAGGTACATTTTTCAAGCTAAACCGTTTGATAGACTGATCTGAAATATTTAGGAAAACTGCAGTTGATTAGTTTTTACTCCAACTAATGTTAAGGCGGTCACTTTCTTGGTAAGTAAGGTATAAAGGTCAACAATGGATTAGTCTGGCATTCTGGCCAATTTGGACTTTCTGTTTTGAAACTTGTTTGCTCACCATGTTCCTTGTTTTTCTAATGATACAATGTTCGAATATGATTTTATGTCCCCTCCACATTCAAAATTGCCATAGTGTGGCAATATATTGCAGCATATTTGTTCATCCGACAGTTTTCTCATTAAGAGCTACGATTATCACCTTCGAATGTCCAGGGATACTTTTTAGTGCATACAGATACTGACAATACACAGGGATAGTAGAGTACAGTTCAAACGTATATCATGGTTATATTTATACAAGATGGATTAATGAGCATCTCTAAACGTTGTTGATATTGTTTACTTCCTAATCAGCAAAGTTTAACACCAAAAATTGCTATAATTTCAACAATATTCATCCACTTCACACAAACTTTGTTGAGAAGTCACTACATTCAAACATATTAACAATTGAAAATGAATATCACATATTGTAAATTCAAATAATAAAATGTCAAAACGCTCTCGCAGCCAAAATGATAAGAATGCAAACTTTCCAACCGTCTACGTTCGTTTCTTTAGAGTATTTACAAGTCTTTGACAGTTTTTATTTGAGTAGCACTTTTCTAGGTTCAACCCTTTTGTTTTTGAAAAAGATTTACCATAAAACTAAAGTATTTTTTAAAAAAGCTGCCACAAAATCTTCAAAAAACGTCTTAAAAATTTACCTTATTTTTGATTAAGGTAGGCAAGTATGAGAATAATACCACTTACCTAGATACCAAGACTGATTTTGGATTTTTAGTAAAATGGAGCCTTGGTCGTCTCCAGGTAATATATATACACTGTTTGTTTAATCTATATTTCCTCCAAACTATGGAGAGTTAAACATTATACATGACATATAAATACAAAACAATATAATATACAATAATGAAATCACAGCACTACATTATATTTTATGATACATTTGCATGAGTAAATATAAAAACCTCACTATTAGTATTACAAATTATACCAATTTATGGATATGTAAATTTAAAAATGTATTTAACATGCTTGGCACAAAGAGTGATAAATTTTTCCCATTGAATTTGATCAATGTTATAAAGGAGATCTGATCTCCCCCCTAAAAGGGTTTCTATTATGATATATGTTTCTGAGTTGAACAACATAACAGAATCTGCCACATTTAAAACGTCTACTATGTTTCCAAACCAACAATCTCTGGTTTTAAATAATTTTGGGCAAAAGAGTAAGGTATGTTTGACAATATCAGACGTGTTTTCGTTGCAACTCAAACAAATCAAGTCACCTTTTGTATGGAGAATTAAGAGATAGAGAAGTTGGGCATAATCCCAAGCATACGTTGGGTATTTCATACCTAGTTTCCAATGGACAATGTTTTCATATTTGGTATGAACATTAGAAAATCTTGTCAGCTTAGGGTTAATGGAAACTGATTCTGCCCAAGTGTTTTCTTAATTTAAGTTGAATTTGACCATTAACGGCTATTTCCATTTGTCTTTTGACATATACAGGTAGCTGCAATTTTTCAAATACATTTCCAATGATTCATACAAAATAGGGTATTCGTGCAAAATCTTAATCACGTCTTGCAAGAATCCTTTATTTTTACAATTAGTGTCAGTTCTTACAATGTAACTGCTCAGTCTGGTTAAAAAGATATTTTTGGGGATTGAGTTCCTATTAAACCTACAGAGTCTGCCCAAAAATAATAATTTCATTTTATTAATGTAGTCTTTGACTGGCCAGAGGCCAATACAACTTAAGACACAGTCAGTTGGGGCTCTTCTAAATCTTCAATTTCTTGTTCAGTTTAACAATTCCATAATTCGCAGCCAAAAAATGCTTTTGGTAATATGAAGCGTTTCCAAATATTGGTACTTGTGATTGGATTTATACCATATTTTCGCATATCAATATTACAGATTGAGTTAAAGGTTCTTTTTGCTAATTCACATGATGCATCAATAGTGTTTTTACAGCTTAAACTTCTATCGATGATATTTCCAACGTAAACTTGTTCAGTTCTCCTTGGAATTGGTTCATCACCTAAGTGCCAGTAAGATGAATTTTTGGCCAGAGCACTTTTGCCAAATACAACAGCAGCACTTTTGCCATTTATGCCTGAATGATAAAGTAAACGCCAGCGTTTGCTGTAGTCATATACAATATCTAAAAGATGTTGGAGCCCTTTGGGAGTATTGGACATGATAGTAGTGTCATCGGCGACCAGTAATGTGGGCAATGTCAGGTTTCCGACTCGGACGCCAAATGGTGACGCACATAACTCGGTGATCAGCTCATCAATATATACCATGAACCAGATTGATGAACAGACCCGGCCCTGACCACATCCCTGCTCTACAGTAAACTAAATTGTTTCAAACGTTTTGGAGTTGCATGTCGTCATTTTCAACCATACGAGCACTGCTAGGCCTTCTGGGATTATCATTTCTCCTCGTTTGATTTTTTCGTTTGATTGCTCTCTTGAATCTCCGTATGTTTCTTATCATCAAATGGCCATTTAATTTCAATGTATTAATATCCATAACAACGACTGCTATAACTACCCCTAGTATGACAAATATCCCACTGGCGCCCAGTATTTCGGCGTATTTGGCTTCTTCCGGTGTAAACGTTGGATTTACTCTATCTACAAAAAACGTACGATAGCGTAAAATTTTCAGTTTAAATAGGATATGTCTGCAATTTATGTTCATTTGGGGAGGGGTTCAAGGATGTATCTCTTAGGGGATATGGTTGTTTTTGTAGCGAATGAAAATGTAATGTATTCAATGTGTAATAGTCTCAGCTGCCGCAAAAAATGTCTTTATCAAAAAGATATTTTTACCTTATAAATCGCGCCAAACAAGGTGTTATTAATGAGATCATATTCATTAAATTGGTGTGCATGCTTTACTTTTTCATTTCGCTTAGAAACAGATAGTTAAGCCCGTAGCTAATTACTTTTGCCAAGGGAAGGGGATTCACTTTTTCAAAAATTCCAAGTGTGGGTTTACATTTAACAACTTTGGCTCATAATCGCTTGAGGGGGGAGGCTATAGAAACCACGTAGCTATAAGCCTCTGGATGTGACATACTGAATTTCATTTATCTGAGATAGACATGGAACAACGAGAGACGTGAGTTGCCATTCCCGTACTTTCTCAGCCCATGCTTACCTAATTGGGTCTTTGGTTTCCATTCTGTAGTAATCAAATGAACCGCGTTTGGCAATAATGACGTAACATTTGTTGTAGCAGCTGATAAGGTTAGTGCCGTTGCGTTTATCGGTGGTCGTGTTGGTATTGATTGTGTTGTTGTCGTCGATATCGTAGCTGTTGACAATGGTTGTCCTGTTGTCATTGTTGTTAGTGATGGTTGTGATGTCGTTGTTGCTGTTGTCAATGGTGATGCTGCTGTCGTCATAGTTGTTTCTGTTGTCAATGGTGATGCTGTTGTCGTCCTTGGTATCGGCGATGTTGTTTGTGATATTGTGTTGAATTGTAATTCTGTTGTTGTCGACTGTGCAGTCGGCGTTGATGTTGTGATGTTTGGAATGGTAGTGGTCGAATCATCTTTGAACAAAAGACAAAAAGACAAAATTAAAAATGCACGAAATTCTTTAATCATAAAAGGATGATGATACTAAACCATAAGACAAGTATCGAAAGTTTGAAATCCGCCATATGATATGCGTAAACGTTAAATATGTGAGCGATCACAGGCTGTGATTCACAGCCTTCAATGAGTTGCCTCCTGGGACGCCGTGTATATACAGGGAAAGAAAACGCGTGAAGTATTTTCGTCGAGTACAACAGGATTTTATTTTATCATTTCATTCAACAAAATTAGGTAGTTTTAAGTAATTTATTTGTCGTCTGTGGATATTTTTGCTGATTCCTCACCTGCCAATACGCTTTTCAATGATGTGGGAAAAACCACGGTTCAAAATCAAAATATTTCTCTGCTCTAAGCCCACGTTCTAGAAAAGTAGATGGATGGTCGTCAATTTATAACAATCGAATGTTTTCCCGATGTACCGGGAACGCAATGAACGTGATTCGCAGGTGGAGTAATCACACGGAACCTGGTTTTAGGAATTGCATGGACTTGATTGCCATCCGTGGGAATACATACCCCATTGATTTCTTTCACATAAATAAGGTCGGGGACTACAGGCAGAGTCTCTCCATTTGTTTAGGTAGATCCGTACACACATCCCGGAGCCATCGGGTTCTCCGCTATTCCAGCTGAAACATATGTTATAGCCCCCGTCACTTGCAAAGTAGTAAAGAAACAAAGGAGTTAATAGGTTGAACAGCGGACTTGGGTAGTCTAGAAAGTCGCAATACATGGTCGAACTATGGGTTTAACCCTAACAGGGGGGGGGGGGGTCGCAATGACCACCCGCTCGGTTTTTATGGTACTTTTTTGAATTTCCCGTTATTGTTTCAGCTTGAGCCACAGATGTGACACTTTTGGCGTTAAAATCAAAGTGATTGATGGTAGATGGGCAATGTTATAACAGTCGGAACTTGATAAAAGAAAGGTGATCTTCATAAAATATTCGGATACTTGCCTTGTTACCTTGTTCCTCTAAAAAATTCAAATTGATGATATTATTATTCTGCTTGATAAATAAAAATCATTAAGTAGATACTATTTTATTTCCAATATATTGATTTCATGAAGGTCGGAGCCACTATTGAGTGACTACGTTATGAATTTTTAGAGGTAAAAAACAGTTAATCGCCAAGTATTTGCGATTCGCGTTCTCTTCCAATTCACGAATTTTTTTGGCATGTTTCCGAATGTTTATGCACACTGTAGTAATATAATCATGATGATACCTCCAGACTTCTTCCAAATTTTAGATACAATTTTTTCTATTCTCCCCTACACCCAATTTTTCAATTTCACTAATTTGATGTTTATGCCATTGCAAGGTGGTTGCTAATGCTAGGCAAACTTATGGATTAAAATTATATTGGAATAATACCAAGTCAAGTATGCAGGCCCGTAGCCAGGATTTGCCAAGGGGGGGGGGTTCAATTTTCAAAGATTTCCAGGGGGGGGTTCACATTTGACAATTTTGGCCCAAATTTGGCTAAAATCACTTGAGAAGTGCTCAAAATGGTCAAAAACTGCATGATTTTGAAAGAATTTTTGGCCAAGGGGGGGGGGGGGGGGTTCGCCCGAACCCTGCGAACCCCCCCTGGCTACGGGCCTGAGTATGTATCTATTTCCTAAATCACTTATTGGTATTTGTGGTACATCTTGAAATATGAATGCTAACAAACATTTAACACTTAAATGACTCGAACTGAAGTTGATGATCTACGTCATCATTGCGTCATCATCAACTTCAGTTAGAGTCATTCTATTAGTGAAGCCATTTGCTTATCGCGGTTGTTTGAGCACTTAATTTAGGCCATTTACCATCGTAGCTTTATTAATTTGCATGACGAAACGTTTGGAATCCAGATTCAATTTAATTTAGCTGAAATCGGAGGTTTATCTAAAGCGAACGTGAGCTCTTATAAACATTAACAATTCTTTCTAAAGCGCGCAATAAGTAATTGTATTTACTTACTCAGTATATGATACTGGTGTATCGAATGCATCAGTGTATGTGAAATTCCCCGCAACAATTTGGACTCCAATCCCGAGCGAGACAAAAGGATTCGGAACATAGGTATCGATGACGTAAGCGTTTTCAGCGCTTGTTGTTATGACAACAAGGTCAGCGCCAAATGATTGACATGACAGCCTAGCATCCGCGAAGTCCAACTCTGAGGAGAATTTACGGTAACAATGACCATCGTAAAGGTCCCATTCAGATTCACAATACAGAGCTCCTGGAATTCAAATATATTCCCACATTTACTCCCCTTCACAGATTTTGCAATTGGAAGCCCCCTTTGAATCATTTTACCATTAAATGAACAAAATGGTTTTGAATTTTGAGATCAATTTTTTCTTGTGATATTGTTTAAACTATATGCAATTTTTAAAGATAATTGAAATGCAGAAATTGATAATTTGTGGATGATTAAATGCACTTGGTTTGTGTGATAATTTAGAACTCGACATGGAGGTCTAAACCTTCTTCAGATATCTAACAAGATAACAAGATATCTGATCATTCAATAAAAAACATTTTTGAATTACATTAATTTTAACAAAATGTACTTTAATCTAATGAAATCGAAGTGTTTGATACGACGCATACATACCGTTTGCTAGTTTTACGTGCATAAAAAGCACCAAGAATAATTTTCCGTGAAGCTGCATATTCATCAGAAGTAAGTCATCGACTGCTTAAGTGTTATTATGCACTTTGAGATTTATTTCTCTTACAGGGTGAATAACAAATGCAGCCCATGTTTTTGTAAAGGGATATTTTTGGTTTTTCTGGACCTTAAGATTCATATTTTTCATGATAACAGATAATGAAAGGAAGCAGAAGTCACAGGGAGGAGTTGAGATCAAATTTCAAAAATAAACTCCACAATTTTCTCTCATCATCATCATTCTAAAAAGTCCCAACACGTGTATTTCGGGAAAAAATTTCGATTTGAGGGATAAATCTTCAATAACCAAGCAAGATTAATTTCAGACATCAATTATATCTGTGTAGCTAAATTAAAAATCTCTTTAAAGCATAAGTAGCCTAACACAATATTCTTAGACGAAATGTGAAATGCATTTTTGCTCACCTTGTATAGACCGATAAAAGGCCAAACAATCGAGTTCGAAAGTGGGCTTAATCACGCACTAATTGCAGCAGTTCCTTTAGGAGTATCGAGTTTTATGATATCGATAGAAAAATATGAACAAGACACAGAGTGACCAGAATCGCACCCTTGAATAAAATAGACAGTTTCGGGACGGAAAATCCAAAATGGCCACCTTTACACTTACCCAGACCACCCAAAAACTAATCACTTCTTTACCTTTATACTTAGAAACATTGCTTAAATTTTCAGATGAAATCATGAAACGGTTTGGCTGGAAACTTGTAGACAAGTCTTGACTGACAGGATTTTAGGATGGAAAATCCAAAATGGCCACCCTAACCTTCACAAAGAATAAAACTAATCAGTTCTATACTATCATACATAAAAACGTTCCTGAAAATTTCAGATGAATCCCTCAAACGGTTTGGCTGGAAACCTGTCCTTGACTGACAGGATTTTAGGACGGAAATCCAGAATGGCCCACACGCCCACTCGCCCGCCCAGCAGACCACCCGCCCGGCAAACTGATCACAATATAGCACCAAAGCCAAAGTAAGAAAAAGTAAGATACATTATTAAATAAAAACTGTTATTATATCATTGATAGAAATCGTGTTATTTGATTGGCTGATTCAGTACCATGTATATATATGTATGTATAATATACCATAGCGTATTTCAGTATTTCACAGCTCCCTGAATTATTGGAATATAAACGCCCGGCGTATCGCCCGCCTGGGGTTCCTGACAACTGCACTGGGGGAAAATAAAAGTGTTCTATACAATGATACTTGTACGTATATTTTTTCTATATGTTAAGTGAAAGAATGTCTATCAATGATATATAAATACGGGCTGCGGGGAATACACATTGCAAAAATCATTGAAAGATGAACAGGTATTGCCCTCCATAGAATGAAATATTTTCTTTTTGTCGCCCTACATTGGAGACGTTTACTGGGGCTTTTATCGTTGACGTCACTATTTTGGGTCATTTCATTTCAACGGTTTCCTTTATATTTACTGTACCCACTGCTAACAAGCCCTTTCATCTTCCTATTCTCATTTCTCTAAAAATACCCCCATACATTATATGATCGTTCACAGCACTGCTGAGTTCATCATGATTGGCAAGGTATAGTGAACCCCCCGGGGCAAGGCTTCAGTTGCTCCAAGGACGTCTAGGTTGCTCCAATTGTTATAACCACCTTGGGAGTCCAAGATGGATAAGTATCAATATTAGTGCAATGGTAATGCTTAGCCTATAAGAACTGAGTATATCCATTCGTCGCTGTGTCACACCCTTTTTTCTCACGTGTTATGAAGTGCTAATCAATTGATTATGGACGATCTCGAAGACTATGTCCACATTATAATGACTATGCAGTTTGGCATTGTAGGTATCAAATTGCATAATACTTAGTCAAGTTATCAACATTAAAGGTCATTATACGGAGAAATAAAGAAATCTCAGAATAGCATGCATTGATGTTTTAATTGATGAAGATATTAGCATAGGTTCCCTTTTGTTTGTTCGTCGTTTTTTTATTCAGAATTAATGGGGATTACTTCCTTCTTAGGTTACTTTGCTTTTTGGTTAAAAATTGGAGTAAATCAATGTCTTATTTTAGAATTTAAGGTGATCTTACCCATCAGTTCAACTCCCAGGGTATTTTTCTATATATCTTAGCTCTGGTGTTATCACCATTTATTGCGTGAGATCCCACATGCGTGTATGCATGGGGAATTTGACCATAAAACATGTGGCCTGCCTAATTTCTTACCCTGGGGCCAAATAAATGTGTCACCTTCCCCACCCTGGGGGCAATAAAACTCCCGGGCCCTTCCCCCATCCTTCAAAATCGGTCCATAGCAGCTAACCCCCCTATCACACCAAACTAGTTCTTACCCGTTCTTGCCAGTCCTACGAAATCGTCGTAAAACGGGCTCAATCTGGTTGTTGTCGGGAAATGTGTCTAAAATAATTAGCTACTTCGTTCTTAAACAGTCTTCAATGCGTCCATCTCGTTCGCAGTTCGTTCAGGTCGCACCACGTCGGTATGCAACGTCGTAGAACGCGTCCCTTAGTCTAGAAGGTCAACATGACCTGATTACAGAACGGTATGGTCGCCATCGAATTTTGAATCGATTCAAAATTCTAAAATCACATTCCCGTCTGAGAACGTTCATAAAGTTCGTAAATAGACATTAGAAAGTTGCAGCTACGTTCATTCCGTTAGCACACAGTTTAAAACCAGTTTTGAAGAACGCAGTGGCAACTTCTTTGGTGTGATAGCTATATGTTTGCTAACTCGTTCATAAGCAGTGTTAAATACGTTCTTAATCAGTTTAAACCCGTTTGCAATTAGTTCTACCTCGTTCTCAACACGTCCTCAGACAGTTCAACTCGTTGTTAAAACGTCCCTAGTAGGATTGAAGTACGACGGTTCCGTTCGTAATACGTCCAGCTCGTCGTTAGTACGTTGTCACTCGTTCTAATTGTAGAACGTGACGACCACGAGAATATTTTGAGCATTGTCTAAGTTCTAGAGGACCTACCCGTTCGAGTATGTTCGACGAAGTTTGTAAATAGATACCAAACAGTTCTTAGTAGGTCCAGTCCGTTCGTACACAGTTGAAGCCCGTTTTCGAGAACGTAGTGAGAACTAGTTTGGTGTGATAGTAGGGTTAGAAAGTTGCAGCTACGTTCATTCCGTTCGCATACAGTTTAAAACCAGTTTTGAAGAACGCAGTGGCAACTTGTTTCATGTGATAGCTATATTTTTGCTAACTCGTTCATAAGCAGTCTTCCATGTTTTGTATGTATTATTGCTGTTATGTAGAAATTGGAGGGGTGTCCAAACACACCCCAATCCATCAAGCATCAGACCAACTGTCTACACTAAGAATGTCAATTCACAATTTTGATTTCATACTTGTAGTCCATACAAAAAATCAAGTTTTCTTAAAATTGGATAATGGGCCATTTAGCATAAGAGTCGGTGTGAGATTTAAGTTAGTTAATCCATTCGTATTGGGTCTTGGGAGAATTAAAGATTGGGAGAATTAGGACTGATTTAAAAAAATGGCCCTTAAATTAAAAGTAATGCCAGTTACCTAACTAAATCATGTAAATTGCCCAATATACATGATTTAAATGGGGAGTAGCAGCTTTTGGGCCCTAATCCCACCATTACAGCCTATCCAGCAAATGTAAATAGTATTCAATTAAACTTTGTCTACACTAGAAACAATATTTTTTGAAAATTTAACCACTCAAAAATGTCAAAAATAAAGGTGCTTTTCTAGGTTCAGGCCATTTTGGACTTTCCGACATTAAATCTTGTATGTGAACGGTCTTGTCTTCATGTTTGAAGCTAAACCGTATGATGGACTGATCTGAAATATTTAGGGAAACTGTAGTTGATTAGTTTTTTTACTCCAACTAAATGTTAAGGCGGTCACTTTCTTGGTAAGTAAGGTATGAAGGTCAAGAATGGATTAGTCTGGCTTTCTGGCCATTTTGGACTTTCTGTTTTGAAACGTGTCTGTTCATCATGTGTCTTTTTCTAATGATAGAATGTTCGAATATAATTTTATGTCCCTCCACATTCAAAATTGCCATAGTGTGGCAATATATTGCAGCATTTTTTCAGCCAGGGCGTCTGTACGTCCGACAGTTTTCTCATAAAGAGCTACAAATATCACCGAATGTCCAGGGATAATTTTTAGTGCATACAGATACTGGAAATACACAGGGATAGTAGAGTACAGTTCAAACGTATATCATGGTTATATTTATACAAGCTGGAATAATGAGCATCTCTAAACGTTGTTGATATTGTTTACTTCCTAATCAGCAAAGTTTAACACCAAAATTGCTATAATTTCAACAATATTTATCCACTTCACATAAACTTTGTTGAGAAGTCACTACATTCAAACATATTTACAATTGAAATTGAATATCACATATTGTAAATTCAAATAATAAAATGGCAAAACGCTCTCACAGCCAAAAGAATGCAAACTTGCCAACCGTCTGCGTTTGTCTCCTTAGAGTATTTATAATTAAGTCGTTGACAATGTTCATTTGAGTCGCACTTTTCTAGGT